TTCTTTCCCTAGAGCGTAGGATATTCAGGGATGACCTTAGAGGTTTATAAAATCATAAGCGATTAAAGATAAGGTGAATAGCCAATCTTTTCCCATTGTAAGGGAGTCCAAAACTAGAGGGCGTGGGTTTAAGTTGAGAGAGGAAAGATTTAAAAGGGACCTGAAGAGCAACTTTTTCTCTCACAGGGTAGCGATTAAATGGAACAAGCTAGCAGAGGAAGTGGTAGAGGCAAGTACAATTGCAACATTTAAAAGAAATTTGGACAGATATGAGAATAGGAAGGGTTTAGTGGGATATGAGCCAAACCATACAAATGGGATTAGTTCAGTTTAGCAAACGCAGTTGGCATGCATGAGTTGGGCAGAAGAGCCTGTTCCCATGCTGTATGTCTTGATGACTCTATTATAAAACTGGTAATTCACTCTGATTTTCACTTTTCTTATGTAATTAGACAATTAAGAATTTATATTAAGTTATTCAAAATACAAAATCAAACTTCATTTTTGACTCTTCAATATTTCATAAATATTGTGCAGAGTTTGTCAAATATATGTAAATGACCATGATCCGAAATACAGTACCTTTCACTGAATTAATTTTGCCAAATTACTGGGTTAAAAAATAACTTTTATTCAAGAAACAAGTATAGTAAACTCTACTTCACTACGCAAATTGCAACCTGCAAAAATGGTGACTGACCTGTTTGTCCTTTCAAAGGAAGTTTGCCTCAGATAAAATGGTTATGGCAGGCTAAAATGGTGTCAGTAACAGCTACATGTCCAGTGATTAAATGTCCTCTGCAATGCTTGTATTGACTACTTGTAGATAGTTATTTAAGAAGCCTGCTTTCACAATTGAAATACAGACTGTTGCTATTAATACTATCAATTCATGCAAAGTAACTCATCCATCAACAGAAATGCTGCCTCATGTAGGTTTTCTCAAACGATCGATTCCTTGATTGTTTGTCTGCATTAACAAAAATCATGTTTAAAAACAAAGTTTTGTGAAAAGGTGACAACATCAATTATAATGGAAAAGATCAAATGCTGAACTACAGGTACATTTAAGAACTAACTCAGCAGTTGTCATGGAGAGTAGTGTTTCATACTTTATGTAAATTATTTGGGTTCCATGTCATCACCACCGTTATGATATGATGTGTACTCACCCTTAAGGATTACAATCACTACAACCACTGATACAGATATGGTGTGTTAGCCCCATGACTTGCTAGTCAGTCTGAAGTAGCAAGAGTCAAGATCAGGTATACTATACTTAGCTCCCAGTCAACATCATCTGTGTATAGTCCTATCATCAAAGAAAGAACACACAGTATTGTTTCATCAGTCCTTGTGTGTGACTGGTATGTAAGAATGCAACATATACAATTCCTGTAATTCAGCAGGCCAGTAAGTTTTTTTTTTTATTTATTTTGAGGCACTCTATAGCCCTGGAACTCAATGTTTCAATAAATAGGCCAGAGGACACATTCCCAGACTGTTCTAACCAAAGGTACCTGTTTCCACTGCTCACCCATTTGAAACAGGTACTTGTTGGTTCCCATGTTGTTTACGCTTTGGACTTACTATTTAATAAATTTATGATAATTTTTTTCTTTTTTTTTACTGATGATTTTCAGCAATAACACACATCTTCAACTATCATGTTGATTATGCCATCAACTGGATAACTAAAAGACTGGCATCCATGGTTTTTCACCGTCTCTGAAAGGCTGCTGTACGCGGGGAGCAGCGCTGGTGTTCTGAAGCTTCCCTGTTTGGTCAAGCACATTTTCTGAAGATGTCGGAGAAGGGGAAGATGGAACTATGATTCTCTGACAGAGACCCAGAGGTCCTGCTCAAGGGTTCCTGGTGCAAAGGAGAGGAATACTCTTCCTGGAGGACTTGAGTGGAGGCTGTGCCACCAGACTCTACCAACATGGTCTGAGGTCTATGCATGGCCCTCGGAATACCTCACCAACTGCACCAGAGTAAACAGCAGTGCTGTCCACTTTCATCTCACCCAATCCCTTCCTTTGCCTCATTCCATCCACAATAGGATCAAAAGGGCACTGGATTGTTAGAGGAGTGCTTGACCTTAGGCTGCTTACCCCATCCAAGGAAAGAATCCTGACAGGAGAAGACCAGGATCCTTCCTACGGGGATGCCAAGACATCCTTGCCCTGCCGACCAAGGAAGTACCATTCTTCATTCCACTGCAGATCTCATGGTGAGAGATAGCAAGAACTGCAGATGCTGGAGTCAGAGATAAAACAGTGTGGAGCTGGAGGAACACAGCAGGCTAGGCAACATCAGAGGAGCAGGAAAGTTGACATTTCAGGTTGGAACCTTCTTCAGATTTCTTGGTAAGCCCAGTGTTACTCTTATTCATTGCACACAACTTTTAACTCATAGTTGTGACACCCTCTGCCTCTTCTGTTTTGCAGCTAATGGCAACATCTCTACCACCACCTCCATCAACCTCTGGCAGCCCTGGGCAGCCACCTCTTTGACCTCCTGAGGGTGAGAATGTTGAGGCTGTAGAGGAAGCATGGGCAAGGCTGCTTCCAATCCCAGCCAACACATATTCTGGTGTCTCAATGATGGGACGATACCCTTAGAAACTGTGGAGCACGACCTGGTGAGCCCCTCACTGTGACAGCTCCACAGCTGTCCAAGAGTAGTGTTGGGAATGAGTTGGTCAGCAATGTCTGGTGCACAGCAGACAGAGGAACAGTAAATTTGGATGGCCAGGGATTGGGGAAGGTGCAGTTTTGCACCCTGTACGGTGTGTAATGTTGTAACCCTTTCAAGGACCTCATATCAATAGGTCATTTTCTTTCCGATTGTGCACTTTCAATTTCCAGTGTGACGCAAAGTGCCACTGAGCGGTCAGTAGCTTCCAGCCTCTCTAATCTCAAAGAGCCCCCAAACGTACAAATTCCTTTAACATGGCCCTTTCTGTGAACCCCGTAGGCTGCACTCCTCCTCATGTAGATGGGTTGTGTAGGGACCTAAAACAGCACCAGCCCAGCTTTCCCACCCAACCTTAACCTGGTATGGTCAGCTACTGCCCTCAACCCTTATCCCCACACCCCTACCTTTAAGTCAGGCTGCCCTTGACCATGGACAAATCCCCCTTCCCAATGACCCCCTTTCCGTCCAGTCTTTAGAGTATCCACTTTGCAGGCACTGTTGCCTTACTCTCCTTCACAATTTTCTTTCCAGCTTTACTGCAGCTTGCAGCTCCCAATCCTGAAGAATAGCTTATTGAATCCCTTTTCTTTGGCAGCAGCCCTTTTTTGTTTCCCACCCTGTTTTTCTCCTCCGTTTCTGTGGACAAACACAATGAACTGACTGTGGCCTACCCCCTTCAGTGGTGTAACTCAATAGCCCCAGACGATGTGTCCAGACCCCTGACTATACATCTGGCTATACATCTCCCTGATAATATTAGTCCTAAGCTCATTCTGGCTGCTATGGAGCCACAGGATTGACAGGGGTCGATTCCCCAGACTGCAGTCATGTACCCACCAAGTCGTTACCAAATCCCTAGACCAGTATGGGAGAATGTCCTCGACTTCTTGCTGCATCTCCCGCACCGATTTATGCGTGTTTCTCTGGACATATGTGAGGAACACTCCCCTAGGGCTCAGACGTGGCTGTCTGCTTGCACAAAATACAGTGTGCTTACTATTGGTGCATGGTGCTGGTATGAGATTGATGTAGCACTCTGTCGTATCTACCACCTTGACTCAGGACTGACTAATTAGCAAAACAAGGCAAAGAAAGGATGGTGCTAAGTGAGGGAGCACTGAGCAAGCAAGAGAGCAGCGCTGACATGCAGCCTGGTCCAAATTGTAAGCTCGGTGCCTGTGGCACACAAAGTATCCCTGCTACAGCCTTTCACTACTAGATGCCAGTACACCTTGCAATGTAATTCTGTGCTTCCTGAGCATCCTGCCAGTCTATCAGAGAGATGCCATAATGGTTGTGAGGGGTTGGTAAATGCCAGATCCACTATCTGTGGATGAGGGATGCATGTGGCTAGTGCCCATGGATCAAGCCCTGAGATGCCGTTTGGTTGTACGCAATACATAAGTTCTTTGGAGCAAGTGACAAGTTGAAATTACCACAAACCCACTCTGATTTCCCAAAGTCTAGCTTGTTCAGTCTGTTTGGTTAAATAGGATGTTGAATATTAAATGAACTGAGTTGTGTCATTAATGAGGCATTTAACAAGCTCTAATTTCCCCCCTTAAGTAGCAACTCATCATGACTGAACGAGAAACTCACCTCAGTGCTCCGCAAAACTATAGAAGTTGGAACAAAATGCTGTCAACATCAAGAAAGCCTTCACTGGATTTCTCATCAAATTCTGCCATAAATCTCACCACCGCTCACATTGCTCAGACCCCAATAACATGCCACTCCTTGAAATGCACGATATCCATTTATCGCATGGAGTGGTGTTAATAGCAAGAGGGAACAGCACTATATTTACTCGGTTACCACTTCAAGTATGGAACCTTTCTGGAACTATCTTGCTAGCAACGCTTTTATTACATCCATATTCCATGGTTCTATGCCTGTAATTTCAAAAGTGAGCTCATGGTGGATAGCTGTACACCTGAGCAGGTATGCTATCTCTTCTTCATTCGTTGTGGGCAACTTTATCTTTTAAATTCAGGGCTTAAGGAAAACTGGTGCCTTTGTTTTTAAGATGATGAACCATGAGGTGTGTTTGAGTGACCAACATACATCTGGTGTGAGAAGCTGGCTACAGCACAGTTGGAGGAACCACAGGATCCTGTAGTAAACATGCCTTAGTCAACCGTGGTAAAGGAAATGTTTTTCATTATCAACTGGTGGAAATGGTATGTTCAGACTGCATTGCTGATACATAGTTCACACTTTCATTTCCATCAGTCAACACAATACAACCTGAAGCATTCAAACACCTACATTGTAGTAAATAAAGTACTCGAACAAATTCCTTTTTGATCTAAAATTCTATTAAAATGTTTTAATATACACAATATTAGCTGAATACAATAATCTTGCCTATTATGAAAAAGTAATAAGTACTGCATAAAATTTAATTCATGATTTTCATCAAAGAGCATCATTTACACTCCTTTAAATTGATCACTTTGAATCACTACCAGTTTAAAAGCCACACAAAAATGTCCAGAACAAGTTAAAATGCATGATAAGTTTAGCTGTCCTGAAGGGTGGATACTGTGCTTCCTTGTCAGTCTTTAGCAGGCTTATGCAAATATAAGGCGATGAAAAATACAATACAGTGATGGTCAATTGGAAAATCTGAAGAAATTTTGACACTTGTTTAATACGTCTGCATCATGTACTTTCTTGTAGCAATTGAAAGCTTTTTCAAAAACCATGCTATTGTTTTCTACACAGTAAGAATAGAGTCATAGAGTTATACAGCATAGAAGCAGACCCTTTGGTCCAACTCATTCATGTTAACTAGATACCCTAAAATGATATAGTCCCATTTGCCAGCATTTGACCCATATCCCTCTAAACCCTTCCTATTCATATACCCATCCAGATGCCTTTTAAATGTTGTAATTGTACCAGCCTCCACAACTTCCTCTGGCAGCTCATTCCATACACGCACAACCCTCTGCATGCAAAAGTTGCCCCTCACATTCCTTTTAAATCTTTCCCTTCTCATCTTAAACCTATTCCCTCGGGTTTTGGACTCCCCTTCCCTAAGAAAATGACCTGGCTATTGACCCTGTCCATGCTCCTCATGATTTTATATAAACCTCTATTAGAACATCACGGTGGCTCAGTGGTTAGCACTGCTGCCTTACAGTGCCAGGGATCCGGGTTCAATTCCAGCCTTGGGCGACTGTCTGTGTGGTGTATGCACATTCTCCCCGTGTCTGCATGTGTTTCCTCCGGGTGCTCCCAATTTCTCCCACAGTCCAAAGATGTGCAGGTTAGGTAGATTGGCCATGCTAAAATTGCCCCTAGTGTCCAGGGATGTGTAGGATACATGGATTAGCCATGGGAAATGCAGAGTTACAGGGATAGGTTAGTGGGGGGTGGTGAGCCTGGGTGGGATACTCTTCAGAGGGTTGGTGTGGACTTGTTGGGCCGAATGACCTGTTTCCACACGTAGGGATTCTATGGAAGGTCACCCCTCAGCCTCTGATACTCCAGGGAAAATAGCTTTAGCCTATTCAGCCACTCCCAGCAACATCCTTGCAAATCCTTTATACAAATCTGAAGTTTCTTGCTCACATCTGAAAACGGATGTGCAATTGTTTATCAAAGGCTGCCACTGCTGGACTCCACTGACTAGGAAATTGTTTAATAATTAAATCTGAACCAGGTTAAGAATTCTTGGAGGCCTGGATTTCTCTTTCACAACAGTCCCTTTCAGTACATTAAGAAAGGTACAGAAAACTTTGTCAAGAATTAGACATGTAAACTGTTTGCAGACTAAATTGATAATAAAGCAAAACATATCACAAAATTACTAGCACACAGTGATCTTTAATGTGCCTTCTCCTTATCAAGGAAAAGCCATTGTATATTGGGTGGGACGGGGGTTGAGACAGAGGCAGATTTTATTGTTTCGGAAGAATAACACTGCCGCATTCACATTGAACAAATCCGGTCCTAGCCTAGAGACAGGCCAGGAAAAGGGCTTCTAGAGACAAGGTGAGAAACTGAAAACTATGTAACTGAGCCTCTTTTAACAAAACAAGTAAATCATATCATAGTACAATGCTTTCATGTCTTAGTTTTTTCCACATTTGCCTGTGTTTGAAGCAAGACTTCAGAAGTTTAATTTGAATATTGCTGTATATATTTTTAATACTTTACCTGAACAAAATCATTTATGGCTAAAATGATTCCCTGGCAAATAAGTATTTGCATCAATGTCTGGAAATTACCCAGAAATACCAGATCATTTTCACAACAGATTTTTATGCAAAAATATACAAATGTTGCAGAATATTTTGAAAGTTTACATGCAATTCAATATCAATGAATTATCTTAAACACAATGGCATCTTTGGAAATCTAAGTATGATTGACAGCAACATGTGTTGAGTATTCGCATCTTATCCTTAATTTTTTTTTCTTACACTAATATTTGGTGCATGGGTTCACCAATGGAAAAGCACAAAATGACCCAGCCTTCTCAAAAACAGTGAATACTTTGTCTGCAGGTGAATCTGAAAATTTTCACTGCAATGAGACACTCATATAATTATAATCAATGCCTGTGTCTTCACATTGATTGTTGGTTACCATTGGCCTGTTCAGCTGTAATTTGCTGTCTTGGTTATCAGTGTCATCTGTGATTTTCAGGATAATGTTGATTTGGTTTGGAATGTTGACTCTAGACTTCCTCAGCTGGAAAACAATATAAATATTGAAAGGAAATGAAAACATGAATTAATACTTTATTCAAGATTTTTTTTTTAAGGTATGAGAACTCATTTGCACACAGGAGCATTGGGAACAGAGAAAGGGTGATAAAAATCCAGAACTGCCTTCTCCCAAAAGGCAGTAAATGATGGGCCTATTGAAATATTCAAAACTGAGATCTACAAATTTTTGTTCATGACCTAATTGAATTTAACGGTGGGCCCAAGAATCTACAAATCTAGAAACAGGAGTAGGTCACTCAGCCCCTCCATTATTCAATAAGGTCCTGGCTGATCCATATGCCTGCCTTGCATCCATATCCCTTGATACTCTTACTTAATAAAAATCTGTCTATCACAGCTTTATATTTAACAATTGAAGAGAGTTTGAATCCTCCAATCCATTTAGCGTGTGGAAATGCTTTCTAACATTTCTCCTGAATGGCCTGGCCTTAATTCTTAGACTTTGCCCCTGGCTTTAGAATCTTCAACCAGTGAAAATAGTTTATCTTTATCTATCCTTACTTTCCCTGTTGATATCCTGAAAACTTCAACTAGATCACCCCTTAACCCAATTTTTTCTCATCTCTCCTCATAACTTAATCCCTGAAATCTAGGTATCATCCTTGTAAACCTGCATTGAACTCCCTCCAGGATCAAAACATCCTTCCTAAAGTCTGGTGCCCAAATATATGCGCAGTATTCTAAATGGATCTATCTGGGGTTTTGTATAATTGCAGCATAACGTCAGAATCGGAATAGTTTACTCATGATTCTATTTTCCTATTTTACCGCACCTCTATTATGATGTGATGCTGTAACTTGTATTGAAAGGTAGCTCCCATCATAGTACTGAAACAGATGTTTTCAAAATCACAAATAACATCCAATGTGACTGTTACAAAGAGAAACATTTTCTCCTCATTCTCAAACTGTCTGCAGCCTTTGAAACAGTTGAGTAGATCATCCTCTTCCAGCGTCTGTCTACTGTTACCCAGCTGCATGGGACTGCTCTCAAATGGTTCCATACTATCTAATCGTGGGGAAAGAATCTCTTGTAATGTCTCTTCTCCCTGCTCCCATCCTGTTACCTCAGATATCCCATAGGAATCTGTCCTTCACCTCCGTCTAGTTCTTATCTATCACAGAACTACGGATGTCTTACACCACAGGAAGAGGCTATTTAGCTCATCGTGCCTGCACTGACTTTTCGAATGAGCATCATTACCTCATGCCAATCTTCTGCTTTTTTTCTCCACACCCTTGCACGTTATTTTATCTAAACATTTGTTCAATGAATGTCTCGACCGAATCTGCTTCAACCATGCTTCCTGGCAGTGAGTTCTACACCCTAACAGCTTGCTGAGTGAAAATGAATTTTTTCTCACATTATCCATGCATCTTTTACGAATCACTTCAAATCTATTGCCTTTTCACTCTTGTTCTTTTTACAAGTTGCCTCATGATGTTATCATCCAAAGGCAAAGCATTAGATTTCACATACATGTTGATAATACACAGATGTCCTCACTATCACAACAATATAAAACAAAGATCTGGATGCTGGAAATCTGAAACAAATAGAAACAAAATGCTGAAGAAATCCTGCAGGTCTGGCAACATCGGCAAAGAGAAAACACAGTTAATGTTTCCAGTCTAGTGTTTCTTCTTCTCTTTGGTTCTTCTGTCTCGCTGTCATCTCTCTTGTGTTCTGGACTATTGATAAATTATCAGAATGCACATCTAACATGGAGTACAGGATAAGCAAACATTTCCTCTCGCTAAATGTTGTGAAGACTGTGAATCCATTTCTTTCAATGCCTGTTCTAAACACTGATCCACAGCTTCTGATTCTATCCCCCTCCTTGGCAAAAATCTGAAATCAAATTTGTCTGTTCACAGTTGAGCTTCTAACCTTATAATCATGCTGTCATAAAGACTGTCTATTTCCACCTTCATAACATCACCTGACTTGGGTCCAGTCTCATCCCACATCTGCTGCTGAAAGTCTTATTCCTGCCTTTCTTTACACTCCAGTCTGGTTTACCACAGTATAGCTCATCTAAAGCGACTCAATTTCCTGCAATTGCAATTTCTCTATTACCCTGTGCTTGGTGACTTGCATTGGTGTCTGGTCAAACAATACCTTGGCTTTAAAATTCTCATCCTTGTTTTCAAATCCCTTCATTGGGCCTTGTCAACTTTTTTTTCTGACATCTCCTCCAGTTCCACACCTTTCAGAGATGGTTATGCTCCTCTAATTCTGGCCTCTTGGCATTCCAATTAGACATGTACCACCATTGTTTGTTTTACCTTCAGTTGTCCAGATACCAAGCTCTGGAGTTATCTCTGTACCTGTGTCTCTACATCTCTTCTCTGCTGTAAGGCATTTGTTGAAACTACCTCTTTAACCAAGCCTTAGGCCATCTGACCATGTGTCCTTATGTGGCTCAGTTTTGTTTCATAATGTTCATCGGAACTTTTAATTATGTTAGAGGACTGTAGCTGTTGTTTAATAAAGTGCCTTGTTGACTGGGATGCATACCTTTTCCAGACTTTTCAATCTCCAAATCATTATTTAACTTTAAGGTAAACATCTGTGCATGAACATAATTCAATTCAATGACACATTAATTGGAGAAATTATTGAGATTATGTATATTTGTTGTATCGTATTTACAAAATACTTTGTGTAGTTTTGATTTCCACATGTATATTTATGATTAAATTAAGTAAATTCATGTTACTTACATGAACATAGCGTATCAGTAGGAGAATCATGCCAATGACTAGAACTGCCAGAACCACACTGATGACAATGTAAATGACTAGATAGGAAGAGGCTTGGAATTTCTCTTCTTCTGGAAAGGCAATCAGATGTTTACATTAAACATGGCTATCAAATTCGGTAATTCCAGGTATGCATACAATATAACATTGCTAATTCATGCAACAAATTGAGTGTTAAGTTTAGAGATAGTTATTTTCAGATGTTTCTTCTGAAAATGAGTTAAAACAGCATTGACTTGCATCACAATAATATGAGATTCTATGGTGAATTGGCAAAAGCAAGTTGTCAAAGTTAAATAAAATTGTTATTTATAGTTATTAATGTATAACTATATAAATCCATTGGAACTGTAAAAACTGTCTATAAAGATCTTATTTTCATTTAGCTTAAACAGTTACTTTAGTTTATTAGTAGTGATCTGAAAATTATACCTGACAACTACATTTTCTTGAGCTGTGATTCTCCAATTTGTTGTCTGTGTTGGGGTGGAGTCTCCAATATTGACTGACTCACTGCTCCTACTACTGCGATAGCTTATTGGATCATGCTCAAATCAGCTTGTTGAGAGTTGACATATGAGCTTCTCAGCCAGAAGTTACCAGGCAAAAACCATCCAGCTGCTTTTGGGTCCTACAGATTGATTGATTATTGCTGCCAAGTATTCAGGAGATCCAACAGCGCTAAGGTGAGTCTTTTTCTTTGACTTCTGAGGGTGGGAGAGGCAGAAAGGCAAGTAATGAAGGCAATTGCTTTCAGCAGCCTCCTTTCACTGCTCCATTATTGGGGCAAATGGAGATGCCACCTTACCTGGCAGCAGATTGTCCTGTTTTTCTAGTTGGGGAACCCAACCACTTTTCTCACCTGCCAGGCAGATAATCAGGTGAGTGGCAAACTAAAGCTGTGAAGAGGCTGTTAAATGAATACTAAAGTGCCTTTGATGAAATGGGAAATTCCCCAATGAACCTCCTCGCTCATCATTTAATTATTAAGGTTGTGAGAAGGGTGTGGGTATCTCTCTAAGGACCAATCACCCAATTATTTGTTCTTCCTATCATGTTCTTTACCATCTCCAGGGTGAGGGAAGGTTTTCACCTTTGATACTTATTTCAGATCTTTAAGTAATATTAAAACAGAACCTAAAATGGAGGTTAATGGTGTAAACTTCAAAGTGAAGATTAGGATTTAACATTAACTAGAATAAGGTTTATTAACTGAAATAAAGTTATTCCTGCGTGGATACAATTCAATATTGAAGATGTAGTGCTATTATCAAAGACAGTGTCTGCTTTAGCAAATCCAACATAATAAACATCTTACTGTTTAAAGATCTACAATAAAGTGTCTTGGTATTATTCCAAAGAAACCAGCCAAGAATGGGATGTGTTTATGGAGCTGAATTTCTATGTGGTGAATTGTGCTGCGGTTATGTCATTATGAAAAAGGTGCACACACCTCAATGGTTAGAAATCTCATTTACATGAGGGTTTCCTATGTCCCCTTCAAGATATATCTTTAGAATAATCGTTGGTCTAAGTCCTTTGCAAACATTGGAAATGATGTCTGGTAAAGTAAAAGTCACTTCAAAAATTATACTACCTACCTGTCAAGAATAATGTACTTTTGAATTACTTACGTTGAATTAACGTATATTCATCTTATCAATGTTCCAAAGGCAAAACATTTTGTTAGATTACAGAAAGATGTGTTTCAGTGAATTTAGAACAGATAAATGTGAGTGATGCTGGGAAATTTATCCTATATAAAACGATGTACTGTGGATTCTGGAGGGCTGAAATAAAAACAGAAGTTGCAGGAGAAACTCGGTTTCGAACTGACTGAATGAAGAGAGAAAAGAAATAAAGTTTCTTTGTTTGATCTCTTCTCTCTTATAGTTATGATTCTTCTGACACTTTGTCAGTTCCACAGTTTACAGTTTACAGTTTCCAGGTCTCAATCACCTCTTTGTGATTGGCATACGATCCATCTGCACATCCGTCATCCAGCCGAATGCCCTGACTCTGAAGGCTGTCCTCTCCTTCCTTGAAAGGACAGCTGAACTGTTGTTGAGCTCAATCTCACTTTCAACAATTTCTCCTTTAACACAAGTCTTTCTTTCTCAAAATAAATGGTACATCTACAGGTAGCAACATGGGTCCCACTTAGGCCTGTTGTTTTGTGGGATATGTGAGATACGACTTGTTCCAATCCTACATGGGCTCCCTCTCCCGGACATTAATGATATCATCTGATGCTGCTTGACCTGCTGTGTTCATCCAGCTCTACACCTTGTTATCAATGATCTCATCGGTTCTGCTTCCTTCTCCACCAGAATTGGAAAAATAATCAATTTTGTTTCTGATTTCCATCCTTCTCTCGTCTTCACCTGGTCCATCTCTCACTCTACTGTTGACACATCTTATATGTTTATATTGCTTCTATATTACAATTTTTCACTTCCTTTGCCTTTTGTTCTGGGCATCTTGTCATCTGTTCCAATTATCCTCCTTCCCTCATTGTCTGCAGCATAAAAAGCATTTTTTAAAATCTAATCCTCTTTTGGTTTGCAGAAGCGATTTTTAAACTGGAAACATTAATATTGTTTCTCTCTCCACAAAAAAACCTGTATTTTTTGCAATACATTGTGTGTAAGGTCAAATATGACAATATTAGAGAACCAGAGTTTTGTAGTACAAATGCAAGTTATTCAGCTTCATTATGTCTGTGTTCCTTCCATACAACTTAAAACTAATTCCACTGTTCTGCTGCTATCCCATAACCTATACCTTTTATTCTTTCAAATGTTTAACAGCACCATCCTCAAAATGAGGTAAAAGTTTCTGTTTCAATTACTTCCATTGACAAAACTTTCTGTCGGTAAACAAATGTGTTCTAATCTCTCTGTTCAATCTTTCAGAAATAATTTCAAACTGAGGCTTTCAAAACTGATTACAAATAAATAGAAATAAACTTTTCCTATTGCCCAATAGGCAGAGTGGGGGCTGGGGAGGTGATAGCCTAGTGGCATTATCGCTGGACTGTTAATCCAGAGACTCAGATAATGTTCTGGGGACCCGGGTTCGAATGTTGCCATAGCAGATGGTGGAATTTGAATTCAATAAATATTAGGAATTAAGGATCTAATGATGATCATAAATCCATTGTGAATTGTCAGGAAAAACCCAGCTGGTTCACTAATGTCCTTTCGGAAAGGAAACTGCCATTCTTACCTGGTCTGGCCTACATGTGACTCCAGACCCACAGCAATGTGGTTGACTCTTAACTGCCTTCCAGGCAATTAGGGATGGGCAATAAATGCTGCCCGGCCAGCAACACCCTCATGCCATGAATGAATAAAGAAAAAAATATCAAATATCATCCAATATTTATTTTCATGAAGGCTGCAGCTAATTTTCTTTGGAGAGCTCCAACATGCATGTAAATTCAAATCTTCACTGCTGTCATAAAGATGTCATCTGTTTTTGCTGATCCTTTGATCAGTTTTCATAGATAAGGCAACCCAGAGTTTTGGGACATGAAGTTGACCTGAACTGAGGAGAGAGTGCTCCCTCAGACTGCATTGTCCCCACTCAGAGTGCTGCTACGACTGCAACTCTGCATAGTGTCCATGCGCAACTCTTATCCTCTGGCGTAATGACTGTCTAACTAGCAGAAAATCTGGTCTGGTCTGTAATATCTACCACATTTTCATTTTGCCATCGGAGAATACTGTCGGTAACCTGAACTGTCTTTATGCTGGGAAGTGGAGAATAGGTGCTATGTCTAGTTTTCATATATGGGGAACCTAGCGGCAAGTGAACTACCAAGTAATATTGTTCATTTTATGTAACGTCATTTTTTTTTTAAAACTTGAATTCAGCCTTTGTTTCAATATACTTAATTTTTAACATGATCAGGTTTTTATTTAAATTCCACCTAGTGAATTTTATTTGCTTTACGGAAGTTAATTTTGAGCAAAATTAATCAATTTTTTTGTTAGTTCTAGTTAAACTGTAGGTGAAGAAATGTGTAATGATTTAGGATTTCCCCTAATGCTTTTGACTGAATATGTTTTCAAAAGCAGGTCCTGCCACTCCGAAGGCTAGGGCAGTATAACATAGGGCTAGAAGTCATCCATACTAGATTGCAAGTGATCTCCAGTACAATGTCCAAAGGAGTAAATATTACATGAACAGAAATTTTGTTTAGCCTAAACTAAAAGTTAGTTTTGGGATAGTTGGGTAGTGGTAATGTCACTGGAATAGTAATGCTCTGGGGAACTTGAGTTCAAATCCCACCATGGCAGCTTCGTAATAAATCCCTGTAAATAAAAATTGTTCTCTGTAGTTGAGAGTTTAGAAGAATGAGGTGGGAGATTCTCATAGAAATCTATAAAATTCTAATGGGACTAGACAGGGTAAATGAAAGAAAAGTGTTCCCAATGAATGGAAGTCTAGAATTAAGGGTCACAATCGAAGGAGATGGGGTAGGCCATTTAGAAATAAGATGACTAATTTCTTCACAGAGAGAGTGGTAAGCCTGTGGAATTCTCTGCCACAGAGAATTTCCTGCTGAGGTGTATGTCCTTCAGGATGAAAAACTGCAATATGTTGGCACTATCCCCTGTTTCGATTTTAGCTTTGTGCGTGTCATCTACATTTTCAGGACGTATGATATTTGAAAGCTTCTGTTTGCCTTATGCCATATCAGTGGCATGCGAGATTAACAATGTGTACAGCTTCGTAATATTTGAACCATACTTTTCACTTGGTTCACTCTGAAACTCAGTGAAGTGCTTACATTTGTGCATCCTCTTAAGACTTCCCTTGCTGCCAGTGAAGTGTTGTTCCATTTTATTGATCACCTGAAGTTTTGTTCTGGGATATTGTTTGGGTGTTGGAACCAGATTTCCTGCACAATTGTGCCCAATGTTCCTTGATACCAGACGCTTTTTAGATACCAAGGTAAAATGGACAGCTTTTGGGTAGGTGTGACAAACAGCATCTGTTCCTGATTTTGTTTGTTTAGTGTGATTTGCTGAATATAACAAAAATGCTGGCTGCACCTAAAGCA